GAGGAAGGTCCTTGGCCCGGAGCGGTGGCCCCAGCCGTTCCCGACCCGAGCTGCAGAGCCGGCCTGGTCCCCATTGCCACCAGCCCCATGGCCCTGCTCAGCCTTGCAGCTCCCCAGGTGCTGCTGCCCGTCAGAACCCTCTTGTGGGGGGTTTCATAGCTTTCCCTGCTTGCAACAGAGCTGCTGCATTCTGGCGCCTTCTCCTTCAGGCACGCAGCATCCCCTCTCATTTTCCCTTTTGTTGCTCTGGAATGTGCTGTCAAACTGAGCAAATGAAGCAACTTTCAGTAAGTTCTCCTCAAGGCATCTGTGTGTGAACAGTGTGCGTGAATTATCGTTGTAGACTGCACCTTTGATAAGGAGTCAGAACTGACCCCTCTCGAGTCAGCGATTGGTATCCTGGAGCTTATCCAGAAAGAGTTCTCCGTGGATGAAAAGACAATGGAATCTATCCAGAAATTGGTGAAAGAAGCTGTAAGGATCTATTTTATTTATTTAACATTAATACACTGAAAACATTAGCATTTTTAATCCAAGCTATCCTCCAGCATATGCACAGTGGTCAAAATTGCTCTGTAATGGGATTTCTTGAAAATTACTTACACACTGCATTTTACAGAGTTTACTGAAACAAAAGATGTCACCAGTATGCTTAAATTCACATATACGCTGATTAGGTGTCACCATAGACCCTGGGCACTTTTTTTTTCTTTTTTTTTAAAACTGCTCTGTAATGGGATTTCTTGAAAATTATTTACACGTTGCATTTTAGAGTTTACTGAAACAAAAGATGTTGTCACCAGTATTCTTAAATTCACATATAGGCTGATTAGGTGTGTCCATAGACCCTGTGCACTGTTTTTTATATATTTTTTAACCCGTCTTTTGTTATCTTGTTTTGTAGCTTTATTATCTTGCTTTTGTTATTATTTAGGGAATATGCTGCTTTGAAAATACAGACCTACTTGAGCCTGGCACTGCCAGAGGTGAATTGAAACCAGAAAGCACAATGTATTTTATGTGTGTTTCTATGGGTATTTTTAAATAAATGCCATGCTTTTGTCTTAGAATAGTTTTGTTTAAATGACAAAAAGAAATCATATTCCATGATAAATCATAGCAGTGGGTTGATTACAGATGCACAGCAAAGAAATTGCTGTTCTTTGTCTTCTGTAGGCTGTTATAGTTTGCATCAAAAATGGAGAGTTTGAGAAAGCTTCAAAAATCATCAGGAGACACGTGGGGAAGACTCCCATAAGCCAGGTGAGCGTGACTGAACCAGAGGCGACGCTCTCAGAACGGGCTGCCGCTTATGGAGGGCACGTCTGAGTTGTTCTAAATGTGTCCCCTGCCTCTTATGGATATCTGAAAAAGGGGAGGAAGGATCAGGGTGGTGAAAATGTAATGAATCGTCATTGAAAGAAGAACCCTTGGCCACTTAGCGTTGAAATTTCATGTTGACAGTCACTTTAGAAATCCCTTTCTCTGACTTGTCTACCTTCACTGAGCTTCATGGGTCCTTCGGACAAAACACCAACCTTGGGGCTCAAGCCAAACTGAAGCTCAGCGTGGATCGTGACTTGTAAGGAAGGGCTGGTTCTCCAAAGCACAAAGTTTCCCTTTTTTATAGCTGTAGGCAATGCAGTGTCTTGGGCACCGCAACCCAAATGTTAGAGCCACTGAAACAAGATAGATCTCCTGCTCCTCTGGCCCTTTCCCAGGCTTATATCAGTGAGACTTGAGCTTGGAGAGTGTAGAACAGGAAAAGCCCCATCTTGGTCCATATCCCAGCTCCTGAACTTGTTTGTATCTCTTGTATTTATTTGGATATTCTTATTTCTTGCCCAGAAAATGAGGACAGAGTTTCTCAGTATTATCCGAGAGAGGAATTCGGCTCATCCAGTGATCACAAACTTCTCCTACAAGGATTTTCAGCACAACATGTTCCAGTTTGTGGAGATGTATGTGGATGATTCGGAGCCCTTGCTGCTAACGGTGCGTGTCTGCCCTGGTGACCTGGCTTGTCATCTTGCGCCTGCTCCTTCCTGCTTCTGGGGCAGGAGAAAAATGGCATGAGATGCAGGCCTGGCTTCCCAGGAGATGGTGCAGGACAGTAGTCTGGCTTTAATGTGACTTTGATTAATGTGTTTCAGAATTTGACACCTCTTAACAAGGGGCTAACTCCACAGTACTTTGAATTCAGTCAAGCCTTTGAATATTTCCTCAACCTAATTATGTTACAAATTTTAATCGATAGTCATTAACTTTGTACCTAAAATCAATTCATTTTCAAGTAACTGCTTAAGAGATCTTTAGAATGTGATAAAATTAAACTGCATTACATGGGATCATTTTTATAATGGTTACATGCTTTTTCTCTGTCCAAGATGATGAAAAAAGCTTTAAATTCAGAATGTGCTGAAGAACCAAAATGTCCTGCAGCAGCTCCCAAATCTGCAAATGGGGTTCTGGACCCAGCAGGTGCCCCCAAGCCTGCAGAAAGAGGACAGGATGTGGCAGGAGCTCCCACGTCTGCAGAAGGGGCAGAGAACCAAGCAGTAACTCCTGAGCGTATAGAAGTAGCAGCTAATATCGTGGAAGAGTCTCAAGAGCCTATGGAAATAGCTAAAGAGCCAGCAGCAGCAGCTCCAGCACCTGTGGAAGTGTCCTCCAAGAACTCGGAAAGGTGGGCAGAGAAATCTGGCCCTGTGCTACAGATGACATTTGGCAGCAGTTTTCTTTTGAAGGGTGGTTTGCTCTGTCCAGGCAACTCCGTTTCCCTGAATGCTCACCCAAGCAGGTCTGCCCAGCAAGGGTTTTTTCCTTTGAGAAGATGCAGATTTTTGCCAGTCTGTGGCTGTTCAGCCCGTTGGTCAAATCCCAGGGGGATGCCTGGCCACTCTCTAGCAGGTGGCACTGGCATCTTCAGTGGAGCTGCTTGCCAGGGTGCTGGCCAAGAGGTGCCCTGCCCTGTTTTAGGAGGAGGGAAGTCCTCCCTAGATCTTTCACCCTAGGGTCAGGGTGAATTGCTGATGGTCCCAGCAAAGGGGAAGCCCCCGATTTCAGGGAAGTGGAGCTGCCTTGGTGAAGTCTCTACAAGCTTCTTAGTTCTGTTTATTTTGTAGGCAACCCTCTGGATCCGTAACCACATATGGGATTTCTGTTCTGAGAGAAGCCTTCAAGATCCTGTCGGACTCCCAGGATTCTGATGCACTCTTCACCAAACTGGATGAAACAGACATTTCTTTCCCCAAGCAACTATCTCCTTCTGTATCCCACAGAACCAAGAGACGGAAAGAAGTGGAGAATCAAGATTCTGAGATCTCAGAGCCTCCTGAAATAGCCCACAAGGGCAAACGCTTGTTGACCATAAGCAAACTGGTCATGGAGCAGGACAGCCAGTGCAGCGAGTTGAGTGAGAGCCCAGACTCATCTCAGGAGCCAGTTGTATCTTCTGCTTCCAGACCTGCTCAGAAGTCGCCTGACCGGCCTGCGTCTACTAAAAATCTCAAGTATGAAGCCCATTTCTTCTGGTATATTCTAATCTACGCTCGATGTTTTGACAGAGCTGGTGTTCGTAGAGTGAACAACAAAAACGTTTTGTCTTTAATTCATGATGAGAATATTGACCATCTTTGCCCACTAGCGTGGGTGCAACTGGGTGAGGTAAATGGTCTGTTGGCCGAGTAGTTACTGTTTGGTAGACAGTAATGGAGCAGAGAAAATGATCCTGCTTCAACTTGTACTGAGTCAGACTTGATTGATATTGGAAGGTGATTCCAGTGGGCGTATCACAGGTAATGGGAGTTTTTCTGCAGGTTGATGGTTGTTGGTGATAGATATCTTTCCAGAAGCTTTAACTGATCATGTGCATCTCTGCTGATGTCATCTTTATGTGCAAGAAAGAGGAGCTAAAATGTGCAACTTCACAAATGAGAACAGAGAGTAGTTATTCTGCTGTAACCATAAGTGATTTTGGCTATATCCTATATAGTAGCCACAGGGAAAACTTTTACAGTATTTTTAAAACATCTAATTTCATCTCCCAGGGCTTTGAGTGCTGCCACTTGGTCTCAGTGAGATGCCTCCGTAGCTCAGTTGATTGCAGTAGTGTTGGTAGTGACAAGACAAGAATTAAATGCTTCTTGAGAGTGCTCAGGACTTCTGTGCTGAGCTGTTAAGTTCTTGCCAGGGGAGTCTAGCTGTTTTTGTTTGCTGTAACTACTTCATTATGTAGTTAATCGAGATATGTCTCTGTAAATACCGATCACAAAATACAACTGCATCCCATTCGGGACTCTTTTTTTGAGGTGGCAGGTGTAGCTACTGCTCCAGGGCTGGACAGGCTGCCTTGCTCCTGTGCCACACGCTGTCGTGCCCGTCCGCTGTGATCCGCGTGGTCCTGCAGCTTCCACGTGCTGGGCAGAGAGCAGCAGGTTCTCCTGGGAGCCCTTCGGGTTACTGGTTAGTTACCTAGGACAAATCTTTGCCCAGCTCACAGCTGCCTTCTGTGTTTGCTTGCTTTCAGGCTCTCCAAAGCAAGGTGGAACAGCTCATTTGCTGAACAAGGAAAAGATGTTTGGAGTGAGGAGGATGACCTGTTTGCAGATGCAGGTGAGAACAGAATCCCTCTGGCAGGTGGTAACTGATAACCTTGGCTTGGTGCCTTGTTCACGGGTGGCTTCCTGCCTTCCCCGTGGCTGCATTTCGAAACTAGAAACACTGAAAGCCTAAGAAAACTCTCGTACCTCTAATCTGAAATGCATACCAGAACTTCTGCTCAAATTTCAGAATAATTATCCTTAACTTCTGGATGTAATTATAAGAACTGCAGCTTTCCCAATTCCCACTTTTACTGCTGTGAAGTAAAGGTTAAGTTTACCTTTTCAAACAGACCAAGTTTCTTGTCCAATTCCTTTTGCAGCTAGAAACACAGCTTAGCTGGCACTGCTGGTGAAAAGTAGTGGGTGAGGCCCTGGAACATCCTAATTCCAGCTTTAAAGTACAGTGTAGCTGCTTTCTGGGGATGGGAGGGATGCCCCGTTCTCAACATACTACCTACTTAAAAACAAAATTGATCCCTTTGGGGTCAGTTAATGGCAAGGCAATTAATGCCTTGAAACAGGAAGGCTGTGAGTGCTGTAGCTGCAGAAAAGGGGGGATAAAGGGGTACAGCTTCATTGTTGCTCTCGGGCTCTCTTTGTTGTAACCAGCTGCTGACTCCTGCGCTGGAGCCAAGGGCAGGGTGTCCAGGAGGTCTGTGTGCCTCCCGTAAGCCACTTGATTTGTTTTTCAGTGTCGCTCGAGACGAACAGCCACAACTCCTCGGTCTTCGGTTCCAAGAAGCAGGTAATGTGGAGCTCCTACAGCCTTTCTGTACACCCCCTGTTAGAACCTGGCTGGCAGCAGAGCTGTCAGGGCTGTCGGCTGGTGTGAGCTGGGCTGTGCGGGGACTGTCCCAAAGCGCCAGTTCACCCGGGCTGCACAAGCTGCTGGTGAAGAGCGATATCTACTGAGGCGAGTGCTCGCTGTATTGGGGCTTGATCCGAGTTGTGCAGCTGCTCGTACTCACAGAACAGGCTTGAGTTTCTTTGCCAGACCCAGGGCACTTTGGTATTTGGCTAAAACCATCTGCCACCCACGTGCCCGGCATTAGTACTTGAGGAAAGTCCTTCTCCTTTGTGGACGTGGTTTGGAACGAGACCTGCTGTGTTCCCCAAGCCCTGGAGAGGCTCTTGTCTGTGAAACATGTGCACATGGCAGCTGTCACCATCCAAGAGCTCCTAGTCAGGTGCTTTTAGCAACTC